TTTCCCAAGCATGACCTTCTGACTTGGATGATCCACTCCATGGGGCTTTTCCCAGAAACAGCCACTCCAAAGGAGTGATTCAAAACCAAGTCTCTACTAGAACCATCGATTCTGTTTCTGTTATTCAGAATAACGCCAGCCTCATGCCTGCCCCGTTACTTGCTCAGCGTGCTAAGATCTAAGTCTCATGTGTTGAAATCAGCCCAGGGCAGAAAAGTCTGGGATACTTCCTATCTCTAGTTAATCACCTCCAAACCCAGAAGCAATGCTATGGCTTGTGTAGTTGAGTGCTAGCCTTGAACACAGAACCTGAAGGAGGATGCCCAGGTCCTGAGGACAAGCTCAGGACCAGAAAACAGCAATGACAGAGTCCCTGAGCATTTAGCATTAGGAAAGGACACATCATCTTCAAGAGTGGGAGGGTCCGTGAAGAAGTTCTATCATGTTCCCATAGATTCTACCGGAAACGCAAGGCTGCAGGGCTCAAAGTCGGCTTCCCTTGGTTCTGCCTTCCCTGGGACTGGACTCAGGGAATCTGTCCAACACACAAAGAAAACTGTCTTTGGGACTTGAACACATGTCATCTCAGCCTTGGGGTTGGCTTTAGGCAGTGGAAAGTGCGTGAACCCCATTGTGGGAAAAAGCATGCCTAAAATGCCAGGCCAGTTCTTGTCACCATATGGGGAATCCTTGAGGGGGAGTTGGAGAGGAGAAACCCTGGGTAGTGTGGTTTGCCCACCTGGGCCTGGTACATACATGCCCAGGATGCTGAGAGTCTCACCTTCTGTGGACATGTAGTAGCAGATGGGCACTGTCTCTCCCTGTTCTCAACTCTAGGATTTCTGGCAGTTACCTGAGTGAATTGCTCAGATTGAGATCCCCATTTCCTCCTGATTTCTCCTTATCAAACCCCTCCATGCAATATGCCCTTGCATTCATATTCTGCAACCCCCTAAAGATGACAAGGACCCATCAGAACTATGAAGGCAGAGGTTGGGCTTAGACCTGAACCAGACCCATGGGTTTATTGGTTCTTCAGCCCAAGGTGGGATTAGAATATTAATCATGTAATATTCATGTCAAAGATGGGACAAATCACAGCCTGGGCCTTTCTTTACTCATGCCTCACCCAGGAATCTCCTGGTGGGGCCTAGGCCAACCCCTCCTCCCTAGGCCCCCCTTGAATGATCCCCAAGTGCTCAGTCTTAGTGGACATAAAGATAGAGACTTGAACTCTGGTCAGAGGTGTTGGCACAAGAACACGAAAGCAGGCACGGGCAGCTTCCTGATTGGAGAGAATTGATTTAGAAGAGCTAAACTGCCAGCCTGGGCCAGATGGAGGCATGCAGAGATGTGGAGAGTGAGCACATGGCACACAGAGGATTGGGGCAGGGTGAGCAAGAGGTGTAGGTGCATGGGGTGCAGAATTGTACCGGGACTTGTGTGGACTGGACACTGTTTAAAGAAGGAATGATTGGGCAGAGGAGGAAGCAAAGCCAGAGGAAGAGGAAGTAGCCTCAGAGGAATAGGAAGTGATCTCAAAGGAAGAGGAAGTGGCCTCAGAAAAAGAGGAAGTGATCT